GAAATAAGCGATCAGGTTACAAGTTTCTCGTGTCGGATTTTTACCTAATAAGAAAAATTGGCTGCAATTATTTATTTATGAAAAACCTGTTTAGCTTTTGAAAAGTACTGATCAAATCAAAATATATGAATTACCTCAGACCGATGAATTTAGGCAGATTTCTTGTACTCCTTAAATTTCTTTCAAGTTACATTATGCTTCACTTTAAAAAATATTATTTGTCTTAATTGATTGGAAAAATTTATAGGAGAATCTTAAAATGATTAAAGAGTTATGTACATGTACGTTTTTACGATATAAATGAGTCCCATCTGAACAAACTTACTCTGAAGCATAACCATAGATTTCAAATCAGGATAGTAGTTTTTCTGTAGGTACAAAACCTGAAAAGGATGAAGTACAGAATGTAATTAACAAGTATGATAATTACGATTCCTTTTTTTAAATATGGAAAGTTTGGTTTTTTTAAATCTGAAGATTACACACTTACAGCAAAATAAAACCAATTTAGTTTGCCGGTGCCAAACTTTAGCAATTTTACTTAATGGAGAAATTTGAAAAACAAACAAAAAAGTACACGGAATTTCAATCAATTCCATAAAATACACACATCATGTCGGCTTGCGACGCCACTGGAATTTCCTGGAATTTGTTCATAGCGGCGAATTAATTTTCAAGATTTTTCGATTTGACAGTGGAATAAAACTTTGCTCTAACCTTGTCGTTTTTAAATTTTGCAAATTATTTGCTAAACGAGTTGCTATATTACGAAGCTTGGGAGTTTTTAAAGAGTTTGAAAATTTAAAGAAAGCGATTCTATAAACATAGTCGGAATACGGAGTACGCAAAATATCCGATCTATGTTTGTAAAGGGTGTCATATTTTTTCAGTTTTTTGATGGTGTCGAGCCTATCATCCACCAGGCTAAAGGATGTTTTCAAACAATGTTACGTAAAATTCAATTTTTCAATTTTCACGAGGGAAATTTATCGGATTTTATTTATCTTAAGTTTCCTTTGCCGTCAAGTTTTGCGGTATGGGATTTATTTACCCGCTCGACTTGGAAATTAAATTTTTATTTTTTAACAGGTATAATTACCAGGGCGTCATTTAGTTTCAGTGCGCGCATACGGATCTGATTCAAATAATTTAATTTCAAAGAAATTCATGATTACCTGATTCCTATTCATTATTATTTGTTATCCTAGTAAACTCTGAAAGTTTTGTGATGTCATTTAACATTTTACAAAAATATTGAACGCGTTAAGACTTTCAAAGTTTACAAGATTGCAAACAATTTTAAATGCAAATTGTATATTATATTTGCATAACCAAAAAATAAACTTGCATAACAATCGGCTTACGAACATCTGCATATTTAATGTGCGACACATTGCTCTATGTACACCAAGGTAGCAAATGCATATTTACCAAGATATTTTGAAAAGGCTTGCTTACATTATATAAGTTACGTATAATTTCTTGAAAAAAGTTTGATCGTTTTTGATGAAGTTTAAGGTCAAATATTAATTTTAAGGAATTCTTAACACGTTATAAGTATGTTACATAGATTCATTTCGATCTCTACGTGAATGAAAATTATTGCAACTGAATGAAAATAAATGAAAATAATTGAAAATCACAATTCGGAAATCAAAATGACTGGCTTTTAAATAAAATTATTCATGAGGTTTGTGACAATGGGATTTATTTTATTGGAACAGTTCGAAACAATTTACAAATTTTATTATTATATGCGAAATTTTATTGTTATCTGTAAATTTTGAAATACTTATTTGCAAAAAGTATAATAATTTTCAAAATTTGCAAGAATTGTCAAAATTTCCAATAAGTGTCAAGATTTACAATAATTTGCAAAATTTATCGAAATTCTCTAATTTTTCAAAAATTTTCAAAATTTGAAGTACAGGGTGTTAATAAAGTCCGATCCCATTTTTCCTGTAAAAAAGTGAAGGCTAGTATAAAAAAAAACTACCCGTGATACTTACAAAAAATGTTCGACATATTTACCTTAGTATTTGGTCTTGTTACCATTTACTTTAACCATGCCCTCAACTCTTTGTTTAAGGCTCTGTGCTAATTTTTCCAATGTGCCTCTGGAAATCGAATTCCATACATCTTGAACTTTTTTTTACTAGCTCTTCCCTCGTCCGGGGTTGTGGCTCTTTGTATACATTTTCCTTAAGTATGGACCACTGGTTCTTCAGGGGATTCAAATCTGGGCCGTTAGCGGCCCACACCCCCTTGCTCCAGACCGTTGAAACTTGCGTCTTGATGAGACTCAAACTCGCTTTTGCTGTATGGGCTATAGCACCATCCTGCATGAAAACTATTTTTCTTTCATTCGGAAATATTTCCTTGTTCCCCATGCTATCGAAATAGATAGGTAATATTTTTTCCATATAATGCTTTGCATTGACTGATTGGCCTTTTGGTATGATATGTAGAGGGGTCACGCAACGTGCACAAAATCCACCCGCTACCATAACTTTAAGCCCGAATTTTGGGATCGCTCTTGATGGTACATCCGATTTGTTTTCTGTCCTGTAACGAACATTTTGTTGGTTCAATTTTGGATATAGTTCAATAATAGATTCGTCAGTCCAAAGGATGTGACTGCGCAATTCTTCACCAAGTCTTTTTTCACTCAAATGGGCACTTTTCTGAAGGAGTTCTTCAAATTTCAGACGGTCATCGATATATTTTTGTGACATGAGAGGTTTTTTTGGTTAGTTTGTAAGCTGTGTGACCCCACTTCGTAGTTTTCACAAATTTTTGCACGGTCACACAGTTAATTTGCTTCTTCTTCTCTTTATAGCGTTTTGAGTCATTTAACTCCCTTGCTCAATTACGTAATGAACTACCGGTTCTCTTGCAAAGTCTGTTTTTAATCATTCTTTTTGTGGTAGGTGACACCTTTCTGGGTCGCCCTGGTCGCTTTTTGTCGTGGACAAAATTTTTATTCTTCCATTTCCAAACAGTTCTGCGGCTGCAGCCCAATTTTTGCACAATTTCTGTAGGTTTAAGCCCCTGCTGATGCAATGTTTGTATCTCAACTCTAAGATGCTCATGACTTACACGTTTAGTTGTTCCTCCCATGGTAAAAATTCGAAATAAATAACTTCACTGGTTCAAAAGTTCCAGCTGAATTTGTAACAACCACGCTCCAAAAAATGCATGGGATCGGACTTTATTAACACCCTTTATTTTCAAAATTTTTATTGTTTTTCAAAATTTGCAAACATTTTATAAATTTGCAAATTATTTGCAACAGTATTACAGACACAGGTTAATTCTGTTAAAATTATTTGCACTCGAATTGATTTAAAATGTGGGAACTTTTCTGAGAATATTTTTTCATGCCGTAGATTCGATTAAAATGGTGTGGAGGAGGAGAGAGGGCCGTGGCCACCGCTTTGAAATCCATTGACCTCAACGTCAAACGCACGCCACAAAAGTCGTCACAACTTGACGAAAAGTGAATTTTACGCGGAAATTCTTTTAGTTTACGAAAAAAGTCATATATCGTGCACGTTTTGGTATAGGTGGCAACCCTTAACTCGTTGGACACATCGGTAGTATCCCTTGTTAGATTATCGGAACCAGAAATTCATTCCCTGATGAAATGAACAGTTACAAACACATGTAATCAAAACCAAGTGTGTTATAAACCAATACAATACCAATCACCAATGCGTGTGTATATGACGTTCAAATTTTAACTGATACAGCATATAGTTTTGACCGTGAGAGTCTTAAAGTGGAAAGCGTTAGAGTTTTAAAGCGCTGACGTTTGACCTTTTACGTGTATGGGCATCCTCCTCCTGGATTAATTCAAGTGCAAATGTAATCTCAATTTATTTCAGGAATCAATCCCCGCTGTTAATCGGCTTAATTATTTTACTACCAACGTCACACAAATTTGCACTCGTCTCGCTTTTAGAACTACTAAATATGAACATGGACAAATGAACCCTTTTCTCATAAAATATGTACGTGATTATATATACGTGGAACAGAATAATCAAAATTTTTTGGCAACTAGATCTCTAAAGTTATTTCGGTAAAATAGTCAGTTGTCGATGGGGGTTTGAAAGGTGGTATTTGTTAATTTAACATAAACCATTCTGCCCTTGAGCTACAATGTTTCTCTGTCTAATATTATAGCAGATTATTAATGTGTGACGTCCCAAAATTATGTCGAGGAGAAAATCGGGATTTCTAGACCCTCAGTTAACATAGGCACGAAATTATTATAACCTTAGACATATTCTCGCGAGACAATTTATGGACGTTCCCTGGTTTACAGTTAAATACTGGATATTTAAATCGGGGTTTCCAATTTTTAATTTCCATAACTTGAATAATTATAACGTCGGAATGAATAATTAATAAAATTAAACAGTAAAATGTAGAGTCAGATGAGACACTATGTAGGGCTAAATTAAATTATGAGAATATTAAAAATAAATAACAGAAATGCTTGTTTACAGATAAACAGTTTACAGACTTCCCCGTGTGTGATAATTCCCAGGGTTGGACAAAATACTATTTAAAATACAATTTACTAATTACAAAATACAAAATACTATTTTGTATTTTGAGGGACAGGTTTCCGGCGAAAGTATTTTGTATTTTTAACTTTGTCGGGTATTTTGAATTTTCTAATTTTGAATGTCGATCAATGTATTTAAAAGACAAAATACATTTCAAAATACATTTCCAAAATACAGTCTCATATAACGACTCTGAACTAGTCGCAAAAACATAAATAAATATTTCGAAGCAGTAGAAATATAATAATTTCGTTTATCAAAATGTATTTTTCATGTGTTTCAGACAGGAAGTACAAATTTGAATTTTTCCAAACCTTTAAAACATTTGCATATATGAATTTTGTATTTTGTATTTTGGTGAAACTCGAGAATTTTGTAATTGTATTTTGAAGATTTGGAAAAATGTATTTGTATTTTGCATTTTGTATTTTGCAACCCATGTATTTTGCCCAACCCTGATAATTCCACAGAAAATCTACTATCAGAGACCTAATAATTATACACACGACGGTTCTAGTTTTAAGAATTGCTCTTTTTACAAGTTGAGAAACATTGCAACTAAATGATAGTATATTTTTGGTGCAATTTTTAAAACGGGGTTTTACGAGATTATTACCCAATTGTTGTATACATGTTATGTTGGTAAGACCAACATACTTACAACTGCAAATAATTTGCACAGGTTACTTGACAAGAAAAAAAGTTACAAATCTACCCTAAATTTTCTAACGTTGTGACACGCATCTCTTTGTACCAGCGAGTCCCATAATTTTACAAAGGTAAATAACACAATTTAATCGAATAGATTTTTGTTAATTGTAAAAATGTGCGAACTTTTGTTTTTCCATGTTACAATAGTAACTTGAGCCTTCATAAAATGTAAGAAAAGGAAATTCATTGGGGAAATGAATCGAAAACTTTTAAAGTACTTGTAAAAACTGTTTTTTTAAAAGAATGTTACATTTAGGTCTGCGATCGTTATACACAATTTATAGACTTGGAGATAAATGGATCGTAAACCTACAAATTTCTGGAATATCTTTGCAGATTTGTAAACGTGTATGTGAATTGGTTCACATACCAAATAAAAAAATTTGACGATCAGATCGACTTTAAACGTAGCGTGAAACTTTAAAAATATTTGCAAAATTAGTTTGCAAACATTAAAATATCTGATTACAAATTTTGTTAAATTTACTTTTTCGGACAATTTTATTTTAAAAGTCGTGAGTTTTCCTAACCAATATTCGTGAATTTTCCAGGTTAAGTTTTGAATTATTTATTATTTGAAGTTTACGACGAAAAATCTGGGTGCAAATGCATTGTAATCTTTCCCTGATTACGGTAATTTCTTTACATATTGGGCGACAAAGGTACGATTTAGTTGACACCTTTTCTGTGCATACTCTTCATCCATCTTCTACGAAAATGTCTCAAGTGCCATTTCTAAGTTTAAGCTAACCTAGTTCTTGTAGTTCTCGCCTTTGCTTAGATTTAAAGAGTTTCCTTAAGTTCCTGGAAAGTTTTTTACGTTCAATCAAGATATAATTTACTATCATAGCCATCACTATAATCTTAAAAAGTTATCTGAATTATTTTCGTTATTAAAAAAAACCAAACTATATTTGGGCGTTCCAAGAATACATTTGTGTGTTGTAAGACTTGCGACAAAAAATAGACACGGTTTTCAAGGATGAGTTATTTTCTACATCCTAAAATATTGTCAACAAGTTTGTGAACTATCCAAGTTCAAAAAAACTAATTGGTGACCGTACTGAAGTATGTTGACATGTATTAAAACTTCAAGTTTTGCAAGTTCTGAAAATAAAACATGTCGCTCTAATTTCAGCAAAGATTGTGTGAAAAAATTGTGCAAAAACAGGCTAAAATAAAATCTTGATTAATATGTAAACTAATTAATAAAGCACGATATAAATTTGTGCCTCATAATTGAAAAAGTATTTTGCTAAGGTCTAATCTAAATCTAACTTTTTTTATAAGAGATTTCAAAAATTTGGGTTATTTTGTAAATTTTAACGTCAAAAATTAATTTAAAGAACCATTTCCTAGTTATGAGAATCCCAGATGGACCTGGTTTTTTAACCCGAAGTGATTTCTTCTTAAACATTTAAATGGAACAAAGACTAATAACGAAGGAGAACCAATTAACTCAATGTTTGCAATCCAGTTAATAAACACCAATGTTTCCAATTTTACTTGAGATCTGCAATTTGATATGAAAAATATGTGGGGAAAAATACAGTTATGAAAGATACGTAACTTGACCTTCCTCGGTAATCTTTAAAAATTTGCGGAAATTTGATCATCTTGAAATTTGCCTCAGCTTTAGTTAAGATCAGAGGTGTTTAACTTAATTAATTGGGTTAATTAATCAATTAATAATTAACCAGGTTCGTTCAAGGAGGGAAGCTCGTGTGAGTTTAGTGTGATTTTTAGTAGAAAACTAGGATTTTAGCCCGTTATAACGGGCTCTAGATTATTTAATTGCGGGACCCGTGGGAGAGGGGACGGTCCCGTTAAATGGCAGGACCCGTGGGGGAGGGGACGGTCCCGTTAAATGGTAATACCCGTGGGAGAGGGGACGGTCAGGTCCACGCCCGACCCGTGGGAGAGGGGACGATCCCGTTAAATGGTAATACCCGTGGGAGAGGGGACGGTCAGGTCCACGCCCGACCCGTGGGAGAGGGGATGGTCACGTTAAATGGCAATACCCGTGGGAGAGGGGACGGTCAGGTCCACGCCCGACCCGTGGGAGAGGGGACGATCCCGTTAAATGGTAATACCCGTGGGAGAGGGGACGGTCAGGTCCACGCCCGACCCGTGGGAGAGGGGACGATCCCGTTAAATGGTAATACCCGTGGGAGAGGGGACGGTCAGGTCCACGCCCGACCCGTGGGAGAGGGGACGGTCAGGTCCACGCCCGACCCGTGGGAGAGGGGACGGTCAGGTCCACGCCCGACCCGTGGGAGAGGGGACGGTCAGGTCCACGCCCGACCCGTGGGAGAGGGGACGATCCCGTTAAATGGTAATACCCGTGGGAGAGGGGATGGTCACGTTAAATGGCAATACCCGTGGGAGAGGGGACGGTCAGGTCCACGCCCGACCCGTGGGAGAGGGGACGGTCAGGTCCACGCCCGACCCGTGGGAGAGGGGACGGTCAGGTCCACGCCCGACCCGTGGGAGAGGGGACGATCCCGTTAAATGGTAATACCCGTGGGAGAGGGGACGGTCCCGTTAAATGGCAGGACCCGTGGGGGAGGGGACGGACCCGTTAAATGGCAGGACCCGTGGGAGAGCTACCAAGAACAAAAGTATTGGTCGTCTTCGTCGCTGCTGCTACTACACTGGCGGTGGCGGCGACAAAAAGGCACGAAACCTGGAAAAATTAATAATAATGAGTTGCCATGGCAACTAATCACTAATTAGTTGTCATGGTGACAAATAATTTCACCTACCAACTGTAGATCGTCGTCGTCGTGGTTGCTGGTACTACTACTGGCAGTTGTGGGGACAAATGGCACGAAACCTGTAACATTTAATAATAATGAGTTGCCATGGCAATTAATAACTAATTAGTTGTCATGGTGACAAATAATTTCACCCACTAAGAACAAAAGTATTGGTCGTCGCTGCTGCTGGTACAACTACTGGCGGTGGCGGCGACAAAAGGGCACGAAACCTGCAAAAATTAATAATATGAGTCACCATGGCAACTAATCACTAATTAGTTGTCATGGTGACAAATAATTTCACCTACCAACTTTAGATCGTCGTCGTCGTGGTTGCTGGTACTACTACTGGCGGTGGCGGCGACAAATGGCACGAAACCTGGAAAAATTAATAATAATGAGTTGCCATGGCAACAAACTAATTATGATACTAAATGTACAAAGTAGTTTGTTGCCATGGTGAAATAATTATTTACACCCAAGTACAAATTACCTTGTGTGTGTATATTTTGAGATGAGGAGGAGGAGGAGGAGGAAGAATTGTAGTAGTGCTGCTGGCGGATGCTGCAGTGGAAGTGAGCAGAGTTTGCCTCTCCTTGCCGTGGAGAGCAATGCAAGTCACGTGTGTGGGAAAGTGAGATCGTAGGGGAAAGTGGAGTCATCGAGTTTGCTGTGTGGGAGTCAAAATACCTCAGTCCAACTCCCTATTGTCTCTCTGACTAGTATTATAGCCCGTATAACGGGCTCTAGATTAATTGCGGGGACCGGGGGAAGCGTTTAAGTCACATAAAATAGCGGATACTTTGCAATACATTCAGTCCCACTAAAATAGCGGGGACATTGATAAAGGTTCAGCCCCTTGCAGATATCGATAAGCATGAGAGAGGTTCGGTCGCCCGTAAATAGAGGGACACGTGGGAAAATTGTAGATCGCGTCAACAGCGGCGCTCGTAAGACCCGTGAGGTCACGTTAAATAGCGGCGCCCGTAAGACCCGTGAGGTCACGTTAAATAGCGGCGCCCATAAGACCCGTGAGGTCACGTTAAATAGCGGCGCCCGTAGGACCCGTGAGGTCACGTTAAATAGCGGCGCCCGTAAGACCCGTGAGGTCACGTTAAATAGCGGCGCCCGTAAGACCCTTGACGGTCACGTTGAATTTCGGGCCCGTGGGAAACGTGATGGCCTCGTTAAACTGCGGGGACCCGTTGTAATAGTTGAGTCCCCCTTAAATAGCGGGGATATTGGGAAATTAATTAATATTTGCACCGTATATATATATGTACATAATGTAAATGTCATAAAAACTGCATACATTTTATAAATTTATACATATTAATATTATGCAGATATATATATATATATATATATATATATATATATTCACTGTATATACATATTCATGTATATACAGTGTAATGTATTGTAGATATGTATGTACATCCAGCATGTAGCAGGGGGATGGGCTGAGGTGCACAAATTGTTGCAAAGGGTCGACATCTACTGTTGGGGCTGGGAATCATGTGTGTAATTGTGAACTGCTAGTGATATTATTAAGCAATGTGACTTTATGTGTATGTGGAGGAGATGAACTTCATGGAAATTGTAGTGGTCGACACGTTGGGGAATATTTGCCCTTATTTGAGTTTATTTAGTCATTTGAAGATTAGTTACAATTTTAAATGGGCGTTTTGACTAACAGAATTTAGAGTGACCGTGACTGTAGGACAGTTGCAAAAAGAGTGGATGAAGAGAGAGAGCATAATTTGGGTTTTATAGGGTAGCGGTCAAGGAAGTTCAAACTGAGTCAATGTCACATACAAATGAGACGATAAAAATAAGTTATGAAATGATTTTTGACATACATGGAGCACAATAGGAAATTCAGTTGAGACACATAATTAAATTAGTCTGGGCATAAGAATATCAGTCTAAAGATTAAAATAACTAAGATTAGTCAGTAGATAAATTAAGTTAAAATGTTGAGACACTGCACAATTCCATACAATTACATAAAGTCATTTACATCTCAAACATTCTCCCCACGTTGAAGTGACCACTTCAAGGATCACAAGCACTTTTACTGTCACTTTGAGAAACTGGGAGGAGGACGAGTTTAGCGATGGGACGTTGCACAATTCCATCCTTGGTGAGGAGAGTGACGACACGAATGAGACCGTCATCTCCCGGATGCACTTTCTGGACTCGGCCAAGACGCCAAATCATTGGAGGAAGGCGTTCGTCCTTAATGAGGACCAGATCACCGATGGCAATGGATTTCTGTGGTGACATCCACTTGGGGCGTTGTTGGAGTCGCGTGATGTACTCCTTGGACCATCTGCTCCAGAAGTTCTGGTACATTTGTTGCAGGAGTTGCCAACGTGAGAGTCGGCCAGTCTTGAGATCGGTGACATCGGGGTCGGGGGCACTGGTGAGCGGTGCACCGATGAGGAAATGTCCAGGGGTCAACGCGGCCAGGTCTGATGGGTCGGATGACTCTGCAGTGATTGGACGAGAGTTCAATACTGCTTCAACTTGGGTAATGGTGGTGGACATCTCTTCGTAGGTTAGGCGTGTTTGTCCAACGATGCGAGTTAGGTGGTATTTCACGGACTTGACTACAGCCTCCGCCAGTCCATTGAAGTGTGGAGCACCAGGGGCGTTGAAATGCCAATGAATACCATCACGAGACAATTGATTGGCAATTTCTTGGTTGTGAATTGGGGTGGAGGACATGGCAAGAAACTTCTTCAACTCGTGGTTTGCACCCACGAAGTTGGTCCCACAATCTGAGTAGAGGTCGGTTGGGCACCCACGTCTGGCGATGAAACGGCGCAGGGTGGCGATGAACGCGTCAGTGGTCATGGCACTGACCAGTTCCAAATGGATTGCTCGTGTGACGCAGCACACGAAGATAGCTAGCCATGATTTTAGGGTGGTGGTACTTCTTTTCAGCATGGGTTTAAGCATGAAAGGGCCGGCGTAGTCCACTCCTGCCTTGGTAAAGGCACGACACGGTTGGAGGCGAAACTGGGGGAGACTGGCCATCATTTGTTGAAGTGTGACGGCACGTTGACGTGTGCACCGTACGCACTTTCGCAATTGATGTCTAATCGCGTCTCTGCCTCTAATAATCCAATATCGGGTTTGAAGGGATGAGATGAGGAGTTGTGGACCGCAGTGGAACAGCTTCTCGTGTTCTTGGATGATGAGCAGTTGGGTGAGGCGTCCACGTCGAGGGAGAAGAATGGGATGGCGGTGGTCATAAGGGAGTGGTGCCTTATGAATTCTTCCTCCAACTCGGAGCACTCCATCCTTATCGAAGAAAGGATTTTATGCAAGGATGGGACTTTTCGGATCCAATGATGGGGGCGTTTGTTGTAGAGATTGGATTTCTGCATGGAACTGCTGGGCTTGCACTATCTTCACCCACACATTGAGAGAGCGAATGAGTTCAGAAGGGGTGAGTGGGCCAATGTTGACGTGACCCAAATGTGGACGAGTATTCATTGTGAAACGACTGCACCAAGCAGTCACTCTCTGCAGTTTCAGTAGGGACGAGCAGTTGTCCAAGAGTTCGGACCATGGATGAGTAGTCGTGGCGTTGCAAATGGCGATCTCTCTCTTTTCCTCCATATCGACGGATGAATCTGGCTTTGGATATTGTTGTCGTGGGGTAGGAATCCCGGTGCTCAACCATTCAGGTCCATTCCACCAAAGCATGAAATGGGCGAAGGTTGAAGGGTCCAGTCCCCGTGATGCGCAGTCTGCTGGATTCTCCACTCCAGACACGTGTCCCCAATGATGAGACGGTAGACGATTCTGGATTTCGGTGACCCTGTTGGCCACAAAGCGATTCCACCGTGAAGGATGGGACCGAATCCAGTCAAGCGTGACAGTTGAATCTGTCCACGCACTTTGATGTTGTAGAGGTAGTTTCAGGGCGTGACTGACGGTCTCCATTAGGTGGGAGAGAAGCACGGCCCCACACAATTCGAGGCGAGGAAGGGACACGGTCTTGGATGGAGCAACGCGAGTTTTTGAAGCGATGACGGAGATAAGAGGAGGAGAGAGGTCGTCAGGATAAGAGCAGAGATACACCACAGCGGAGTAGGCCTTTTCTGAGGCGTCGCAGAAGCCAACGAGAGCAAATTTGGTGTTGAGGGAATTCTTGACACATCTTGGGATCTTTATGGTTTCAATGTGTTGAAGTTCTTTTTTGTAGCTGGTCCACTTGTGAGCAAGGTCGGTGGGTACAGGATCATCCCAGCCGAGGTCGAGCTTCCAAAGTTGTTGCATCATCAACTTGGCAGTGATGACAACAGGAGCGAGCCACCCGATCGGATCAAAGATTTTAGCTATTTCAGAGAGAATAATACGTTTAGTTAGGTGGCCTTTGAATGTGGGAGAGGAATGGACAAGTTGGAATAGGAACTGATCACAAGTTGGCTGCCAATAAATCCCAAGAGTTTTCACGGTGTGACCAAGTTCCACTGGCATGAGGGACTTTGTTTCCCGTAATTCCACAGGTAATCGGTCAGTTAGAGCAGAATGACTTGAGGTCCATTTTCTTGCTTCCCACTTTGCACTATTCATAAGGAGGAGGATTTCATCTTGAGTTTGGATGGCTTCTTCCAGTGAGTCAGCACCTGACATGATGTCATCCACGTAAACATCATCGTGGACAACTTTGGCTGCGAGGGGAAAGTTCTCTTCTTCAGTTGTTGCGAGTTCCTTGACTGTACGAGTGGCTTCAAAGGGGGCGGGTGCAGTCCCGTACGTGACAGTCAAGAGGCGATAATCTATCACAGGAAGAGAGGGGTCGTCTCGCCACAAAATTCTTTGATAGTCAGCATCTTGTTTGGTGACGAGAATCTGACGGTACATTTTCGCAACATCGGCAGTGAAGGCAACGATGTGGGTCTTAAACCGGAGCAGAATGTCGAAGAGGGAATCTTGGATAGTCGCTCCCACCAATAAGCATGAGTTGAGAGATTTTCCATTTCCGGTTTTGGCGGAGGCGTCGAAAACCACCCTCAATTTGGTAGTGGTGCTGGACTCTTTCACAACGAAGTGATGTGGGATGTATGTGCATAGTTCGGTGTTGATTTCTTCTTGGGGGACAACTTCCATGTGGCCAAGGTCGAGATACTCCTTCATGAAGGCGACGTATTCTTCCTTGTGGGTGGGTTGTCGTGCGAGTCGTCGTTCTATTTGGCGAAGACGTTGCATGGCCATGTCACGCGATGGACCGAGGTCTGGTGGTGTTGTTTTCAATGGGAGGCTGACAATAAATCTCCCGTCTTGTTGTCGAGTGGTATGACTGGTGTAGTGGTCTTCACAGAGTTGTTCTTCTTGTGTGAGTGCTCGTGGAGTGGAAAATGGAACTTCCTCCAACTCCCAAATATTGCGAAGACTCTTATCCAGGTTGACATCAGCCACTTGGACTTTGGTTTGCTGTACCTCAACTGACTGCATATTAGTTGAACCTTGGGTATGTAAATTGGTTGGAACATGTGTACCAGTTTTTCCAACCTCACCAACTACCAACCAACCGATGTCCGAACTGAGGGCAAATGGTTGACCGAGTTGACCATATCTTTTGTCTCCATTGATAAGACCATAGAAGAGGGAGGCGCCGACCAACATGTCGATGTCGTCAGGAATGTGCCACTTCTCATCAGCAAGCTGAAGTCCATAAAGATGAACAAGGTCGGGATCACAAGGATGACGAGGCAATTGACCAGTGACGCTGTCCATCATCCTCACATTCTTGGCGTGAATGCTGAGATGAGGGTCAAAGTGTGGACTGAACTCCATGTCCAGCACACCAAATGCACTTCCAAGGGGGGCCATGGAAAGTCCAGTGACGAGTGTTTGCTGCTTATCCCATGATAAGCCGAGAGATCTGACCGTCTTTGATCTGATAATGTGGACATCGGATCCACCATCCAACAGAAGACGAAGAGGTTGCTGCTGGCCAGACTTGTCTCGCACAAGCACTATTGCTGTAGCAAGGAGAGTTTGGGAGAAAGTGCTGGTGTTGTTGTTTGTATGATGATTCAGAGCAAGATTGGGATTATCGTTCACGACTGGAGGGGCCGGATGAACAGATGATTTCCCACGATGTAGAACAGAGTGATGTTTTCCACTGCAGGTACGACACGTTGAGGAACTGGAGCACTGCGAGCTGGAATGTCCACCACGTAAGCAATTGTAACACAATGCATTCTTCCTGACCACTTCGTGTCTGGTGTCCATGGGCAGGCCAAGAAATCCTTCACATTTGTAGAGAGGGTGGGGTTCAGCGCACACTTTGCATGGGTGTGGTGAATGAGGAGCTTGTGGAGACTGTGCATGGTGCACATGATTCTTGAGATGAACAGGTTTTGGCTTTTCAATCACTTTGGGGGGACATGAGGACTTAGCACCACCCGCCTCCAACGCTCTGTACCTCTGTTCCAAGAAGTCGAAGAGGCCTTGAAGCTTCGGAATGGAACTATCCTGCAGTCCTTGCTCGTACAGTTCCTTGGTGGCACTGTCAAGCTTCTGATGGATGATGAAGAGGAGGAGTGCATCCCACTGTTGTACAGGCTGGGAGAGAACCTCCAATGACCGCATGCACTCCTTACTACAATCGATGAGTTGTCGCAAGGCCGGCGCAGTGGCAGTCGCAATAGGTTGTTGTTGAGTAAATCTTCTCAGCAGGGTGAAAAGAAGTTGACGATCATTCTGGTAGCGATCCTCCAACAGTTTAGCAGCGATGTTGTAGTTTGCATCCGAAATCACCAATGACTGGACCTGACGGGCGGCTTCTCCCTTGAGTTCCGATGTTGTCATCAATTATGGCAAATAATCGTTGAGACGAGACCTAGGTAGTCCAAATGTATGACATTGTGTTTACACCCTATCGATATTTTATCAAGTCGGAATTTCGTATCGAGTCGGAATTTCCCTCACCTGAATGAAGTGTTCCATATCGGAGGATTTACCGAAACCGAATTCTCATAAAGTCTTAAACGTCCACTGTCTCGTCTTGTTTCCTCCTTCGGGAAAGACAATTCCAATTTTTTTATGTAAACATCGATCCGCAAATATGCCTGAGAAATCCCGAAAAAATGATACCTCATTCGAGAGGATGGTTTGCATGGGTTCCTTCGAAGTAAGAATGACTGGTGGAAATCAAGACATGGATCACTTTATATCTATCTACATCCACCTCTAGTAAAGTATTTATTCAGCAAGCAATCGTGTCACGGGCAGTGTTAGCAATAAATCTCACTCACCTGTTCTCTTAGAACCCATCTTTATGGAGTATATCTCCCCATATTTTTCCGCCAGTATCCCGAACGATAAGGTGACGTTATCCGACGCATTTGCCAAATCTAATAAATTTCCTATAATTGGCCATGGTTTAGGACCTGCATTAAATTGGGTCAATTATGGACTTTGATACAGTGAAAATTTGCTGCTAATCTACATTTGTGTTAAATAAGACAAACGTCACTACTTTTAAGTGTTCATTATACCCATTGCAGTCTGTAAAATAAAATAGCTCACCTGGAGGTTCCATCTTTGTATCATCTCTCAACATGAAGTGGTAAATTATGAGGAATACGATAATCGGGAATGCATAATATACGAGCATCTTCTTGGAAACAAACTCGAATAACCTGTTGTGATCGATGATGGATACTTTTAAGTTGACCACTTATGTACAAGGAAAGGTCGCAGAGTGTAAGGGTACGTGCAATATTTTTATAATCCATGTTCTTGGCTCTGAGGTAAACCGGGGGGAATCGCAAGTCTTAACGCCCCTTGGATATGTCTATGTAAGACATAATACGACTGTTCAGTAATTTTTCTAAAGTATGCATAATTTAAAAAAAGTAGAGTTTGATATTGGATATAATAAAGCAACTATGTGGGACTCCAGTGGTGCAAGAATTTTTAAATTCCAGGGAAGATTCTATTTTCGGTGAAGGCTTTGGTGAGACCAGTTTAGTATTGGGGCCATGGAATCTAACCCTGCTTCACTTTTGTTGCAATAACCTACTACATTTCCAAAAGGCGTTAAGATTTGCGATTGCCCCAGTGACAAGATTTCCTGCTGAGATGAAGGATCCACGCATATTACCGTATTGCACTCATATTTTGAGCTCGAAATTCGCTGAGTTTGTTGGATTTTACATTTTAAACCGTCAGAAATTTCGAGATATTGGATGGATTTTCCAAACATTGGCATTAAAATGATCACACAAAGGGTCAAACCTTAGACAAAAATAGTGTTTTAAGCTTTTTTGGAAATTTCCGAAATTATTTGATCAATTGAAATGCTAAAAAATATGAAAAATGTCGAAAACAAATGAATATTTTTTAATTACTTGTTAGAATTTCGATTTTTGTGATTAGTTTCATGAAAAAGTTTTGAAAATAGCCATAACGGTTAGAGATGTTTAAAATTCAGTTTTCAAGGATTGGATCCCAGCCACGGCGCTTAGCATGAGTTTTACACGAAAATGTGACTGGATCCGTCACCCTGGGCCATAGTGGATTCTAAAAATATCGATAGTGAGTATACCTTAATATGCGTAGGAGTCGGGAGGTCTTCCTTGTTTGCTGGCACGCTAAGTACCGTGCCAAGAAGTTCAAATGACCTAATTACTGTTTAGTTTCCGTGACTGTGACCGAGTGCTGTCCAATGTAAATAAGATGAAGACAGAATTTATGTGGTTTTATACATGGCTCGTCAAGGAAAACTGGCAAAATTGGATAGTGGTGCAATCAATTTTAATCTAGAGATGTGGATTGTTGAGTAACCCCTTAACTCGTGTTCAATCACTGCAGCTAAATCTACACAAATCGTAAGTTTTCCTTAAAAGAATATTAGTACAAAAGTACTAAAACTAAGGGAATTTATCCTTATTTAACTCTGTTAAAAATTTAATTGATAAAGTAATAAAGTAATCGACTAATCAAGCAGTAAAAATCGACGAATAGAAAGTAATAAATAAATAGTCGACAAATATTTCTGCGTAATATAAACATGGAACAATTAAATTCTGTACAAAATAAATTATTCGTATGATGTTGAATATGAAAGCGTGTCAACACAATGAACGAGATAGGTTCTTCCTTGATTAATATCTTTCTACTCGGAGAGTTTTGTACATATGTAAATGGGCATATAAAACTACACGTATGCAGTTTTCCTTGATGGAGAGGTGTAAAACCAATAAGACTTGACCATGGTCATCTTGAAAGTGTATCAGATAAACCACTACCAACGCATGTAATTAAGTGGTGAAACCTCGAGATGCACTTAAACCCGTTCAAAGTCAAAATAGGGCCTACGTGACTAAAAATGTAAAGCTATTTTATGGCTAAACTATGATGGTTTTACGTGGGCTAACTTTTGATGGGTCTAACTTTTAAAGGGTAAAGGCTATTAAATACGCGTGAACAGAGCAACTACAGTCAATTACAGTTTTCAGGAATAAATTAAGAATTGTACGTGTGACTTCATCCCCACCGTCCAACGGCCCTAGTGCATACGTCAGAACGACTTATTTAGTAATATTGGGAATAGTCAACCTAAAACTCGAACCTGTCTGACGGCTCCGCTGCGTTGTAACGTTTTGATTTAATAATTGGGCTGTGTAGCCAAGCCGACCGTACCTTTTAGATGGCGAAATTATATAATAGAACTTAAAACATTTGCCAGTTCCAGAGATACCGTCATACCCCAGTGATGAAAGGATGGACATAACGACATGAAGTTCACCCTTTAATGTAGTTCATTTACTGTCACTCACAATCATAATAGCTCCTATCAATGATACTGAACCGGTATGTACGTATCCACACAACCAACGAGGCTTGGGTTTTGGAGTAAAGTAATTAAGTTCACAGGTCGTAAAATTGTAAACTCAAGTCGAGGAAAGCTTTCTGACGGAAAAATTCCCATTGTTCTAAACGAATTAAATTTTATTATATTTAGAACGCACTGATATTGAGCAAAGTACCTGATACTTCGCGTCATCTCCATATCTTGTTCAGACCCTAGAGAATTCACGAATCCATGCCCCAATTTCCTTGTGGCCCCCAATTAAAGTACATAATACTTCATCTACGAAGTAAAGAAGGCCACATTTTGTGGATTAGGGTATTTTATGGATGAGGATATACATATAGTTATTTTTATGATCAGGTTAACCAGGAAGTTGGGTGATTTCGAAATTATTAAATCAGATCCAATTTTTGGTATTATTTTTCCGTAACTATTAAGTATGAGGAAACCAGTTTTCAATAAAATCGTATATATTGTGGTGATAGTTCAAATATAAAAGACCCTGGACGTAACTCACTTTTAATAATCGCCCAACCAACACCAGGGAACTAATATCATTCAACCTTTGAACCAAAATGAAAACCACCAAGTATCAACCCACCGGTTTAAATGGATTAGTTGCATTCGAGATCCCCGATATAAGGGATTCAGACAAGGGTACGGTGACTCTAACCGGACAGTTTCAACGCATCAAGCCGAACATTGGCCGAACAGAAGTTGATCCTAAGATTGTTGATGAACTGGCAAACAAATACTGCAAACTGGCGACAAACACAGGCTTCTTGGATCATCACTTTAAACGTCACTCGATTAAAACGGTTACCTTGACCACTGTCCAGTTATCTCTGTACTGGATGCCAAGAGTAGAATTGGGATCGAAACAGATGGATTTTGTAATTCGTTTTCTCACTTGGCTATTCTTTTGGGACGATATTATGGAACAGGGGTGGCTGAATAAAGAAAAAATGGATAAGAAAACAGATATTTCGATGCTGCGAGCAATCAACGGCATATTTGCGGATATCTTGCGCGGTAATGAAGTTATTGAATATGAGAAATTGACATTCCCAGGGTATCCACAATTTGTCGCGTTGTGTGTCTTCGTTGAAGACTTTTTGCAAGTGGCTAAGGATATTTTACGGGAACGGTACTCCACCCAGGTTACCAATGTAATCAAGGCGTTTCAGAGCTACGCGGACGCTATTGAATGGTTCACTGTGAATCCGGTAGACGGAAGGTATGAAACGGTCGGAAATAATTAATCAGTCCGCCCAGTATAATACCTTAAAAAGTTCCTTATTATACATGTAAATAGATACAGTACAACCACATTTCACTACTGGCGGGTCATAAATGCGGGAGGCGGACTGGTGTTGGACGGCCTCGCATTCGCGAATGAGCTTCAACTAAAACCAGTAATTAGCAGACATCCCGCCTTCCAGCGAATGGTGATGATTGCTGTTACGAACACTCAGCTCGTTAATGAGGTCCTCGGGGTGAGGAAGGATTTTGGTCGTGAAGGAGCAGACCTTGACAGTGAAGTTGTTTTTCGCGTGGCTTTTAAGAATGAATCCGTTCAAGTTGCCGTGGATGCGGTGTGCAGCGCAATTACTGATGATCTCACGGACCTGATAGTACTTAAGGAAACCTTGATCGACATTTTCGGCGAGGATGAGGATCTAATCAATTGGTTTGATCTGATTGATGTGTTTATCGATGGACAGAACTTGGTTTATGTGGAAAACATACGGTACAAATGTGAACGAGGATTTGTTCGGTTGTCGAGATATGAAAGCGAGGAGGATGGTTTAAACAGAGATGATATCGAGGATGGTGATGATGCTATAGTTCGTTAGTTCAAAGCTGACCAAAAGGCTAACATTGATTCTAAAATAGATTTAAAACAAAAGTTTAAAGATTGTGGCCTCGTCGGAGTAGGTAAAAGTATATATATTGAGTTGTAAGCTATTATTTAGAAAAACCTAAAATTTACATACATGAAATTTGGTGACGGAAACATGAAAAGCTATAGGTATGCATCAGGAAAAATTGCATCTAGATACGAGAAAGTAATAAATATCCATATATAAATTATTTCGCATTACACGGACATATTTAAACTGAAGATGAGACGCACGCATTTAGTTTTTTTGTTATTGATTTATTTGGATTTTTAGACCCACATCCTTGCATGGCTTACGTTGGAAGTGACATACATAAGTAAATAGTGTTTTGATATGTTTTTGTTGAAATTAGACACAAGCAAAATGACACACATATATCATTTATTTTAATGTGTTATTAATATTTTCATGTTCCTTCCTATTGCGATCGCCCAACATCTACCACACCTTTTTGTTAGAATAAAATTGAGAATGGAATGGTTGATGTATTAAAACGAGAGGAAATTCTTGCTGAAAGGTAACAGGGCGGGTCCTTTATATCCCTTTACCTTTGACCTCGACACAGTCACGGGGTCTTCGCAGGTCAAAATGACCTATTCCTTCCGAAGGAGTGCTAAAATCCTGTCAATTTGACACCTCACAAGACCCTTTTTTAAAATAATACAGAGGTATGGGCGTCCTATTTGTCCCAGCACAATAATTATTTTATTACCTTATCTGAAGTTTTTATGAATTTGCTTGATATTTTTAATATGCCGTCCATCCTTTTCCACAATTAGTCGAAGTCGGCGTTTCCAAGAACTAAACGTTTTTGTCGCT